TGTAAAAATGGGCAATTGGAGAAGGCAAGTGATTTATTAACAGAGATGGAGGAGAGTTGTTGTTTTCCAGATGTGGTGACATTTAATACATTCATTTCCTTTTTCTGTCAAAAGAATGAGACGTCCAAAGTTGTGGAGTTTCTTTTAAAAATGAAACAGAAAAATGTGTCACCTGATGCAACAACCCTGTACATTGTCTTAAAGTTACTCTCAAAATTGAAGGATGAGAGACGTCAAGAACTTATTAATGAGCTTCCCACATTTCCTGCCAGAGAGCCACCATGTGGATGACAGGGTCAAAATTGAATCACTAAGCATTCATCAAAATCATGACAAATTTAAGCAGAGGCTACTGTAGCTGATGATAGTTTCTTGGTGTTCCCAGTCTAGATTCAAACAACTGGAGATTGGGTAATCTTTACTTTGAGAAAGCAGAAGCAGGGGAATTTTCATTAGTCAATGCCTGTAATACATGGAGATGTCGGTTTGAAATGTTAGAAAATTGAAGTTGCAAGCTTTTCCTGACAATCAGGTACATTAACTTAAGCGCTTCTGTTCATTAATTCTGTTGTAATTATTTGTAGATTTTTTGTTTTCCTCAAGGTGATTACCATATAGTTAGTCAAACCTATGACATTCCTAGTGTTGTTATTTCATATTACAAACTACTGTCAGCTAGGTTGTTTATGCATTCCAATTACCAAATATACCATATTTGCAATTTTGTTCAGAAAACTGATACGAGTAATTTCTACTTGACATTGACACACTCAACATCATAGATATATTAAGTTTTGTGAAGTAATTGCTGATGTTGTCTGATCAGAAAGTGATTCATCTTTTTGTTTTCTTTGGCTTGAGATCAACTAGAAAATATTTAGCTTGTACACTAATGTGTTAGGTTGAACAGGCCATTCGTCTTTTTTGTTTTGTTTGTTTGTTTTTTTTTTTTTTTTTCTACATAATATTGAATTAAGATTAAAAATGAAAAAGAGTTCTTTGATTTTTGTTTCTTCTTTTCAAGAAAGCAATATCATAGGGGGAATTTCCATAAATGAAGTTGAAAATATGTAATCTGCTGTCATGATTTAACAGAGGCGACCTTGTTGTGAGAAGACAAACCCTGCTTCCAAGAGTTCTTTCTGTTATGAAAGGAGTTACAGTTAGTAGGAAACTATTTCAATCTCCATGTCCTGATGGCTACAATAATGGGAATGAACAACTGGCACTCTGTCTTTGGGCCTGCAAACAGTTTGTTCCATGGGGGTCTTCAGGGCCAGTTTTACTTGCAATAAACAATTGGTTGGATACAACAAAACCAGTTGAGAAAGATGAGGAGGTGGAAAGTGTGACATTGCCACCTGGAATTTATCCTTTGTTATTGTGGCTATCTGAAGAATCTGAGGATGAAAGCAGCACCATTACAATAGCGGTGGATCCCTTGCTTGTTTGTTTCTGCCAACGCCATCAAAGGTACTGTTAATGGTAGAGTGCTTGCATGTCCCATCTGGCAGTTTTACACTGATATCAATGGACAATATGTTCACATTCCCCAGTCCCACCTACACCCGGTCACCCCCACACACAATCATTGGTGAAATATTCTGTATGGCATAGTGATTTAAATAAATTTCATTGTTCTGTCCTTCCAACTGTAATAACATGTTAAATTGCTAATGCTCATTGGGACACCTTAATACTTGTATTATTCATGGTTACATAGTTGATAGGCCAGATATTCTGCTACTAGAATAAGCATGGACATGTTTAGGATGAGGGTTTAGATCCTGACTTTATTTGCTTCTTGTCTCTTGTTCTTGATGGGATGCATTTGTGTCTTTTCTAATACAGAGAAGGGGTTCAGTTCATTCTGGACTGCATTTTGGAGTCGTATAGTGCTGCCAATATTAATGGATGCATTCTTGCTGATGATGTGGGCAAACACTTTATTGCTTCGGTGTCTATTCTGTGAGAGCAAGTGTGTGGTTTTTAATGTTTGTGCTATTGTTTTAGTTATGTGGTTTGGAATTTTGCAGTTTGGAAAAGAAATTGCACTATTGCAGTCAATTACTTTATACTATTCTATGCCAAGGGTTTGATGGGAAACCAATGGTTAAAAGGGCCATTATTGTAACACCAACTAGTCTTGTAAGCAACTGGGAGGCTAAAATCAAGAAGTGGATGGGAGAAAGGGTTAAGCTTATTGCTCTCTGTGAAAGCACAAGAGATGATGTTCTATCTGGAATTGACGGATTCATGATTGCCCTGCAGCTTTCCACAGGTACTTTCTCATGCTATCATGTATCCAATCAGTTTTTTTCCAAGTATTAATTATTCCGCATTAGACCTTTAGGATGCATTCATCAAAGTTTAGTCAAATTGAATCTTGTGATCTTCTTATATTGGATGAGGCTCACAGGCTGAAAATTGACCAGACATCAAATTGGGTATTACACAGTAGTGATGTTTTTTCTGTACACATTCTTTCCTGATATATGTGTTTTTGTCTATTGCTTTTCTGACTGTATCTATGTATGTCTTTTTGTCAGGCATTGGCCTCTCTCATGCAAATGCCGGATTTTGTTATCTGGAACTCCAATGCAGGTGGAGGCATTTGTACATGATTCTTCATTTACTATTATTTTATTTTTTCATTCTGACAAATAATTCTCCCTCCATTTTTATTTTTTTGCTCGCAGAATTACCTAGAAATTTTCTTTTCCATTGTCAACTTTACTAATCCTGGAATCTTGGTTGATGCTGCATACTTTCTCCATTACCCTGAAGTTGGTTAACATTCTTTTTGACATTATTCAGACAGCTTTACATTTTAAATGCTATAATTTTTACAGTTCAGATATGATATTTAGGAACTGGTTATTTCATATATCTCTTCTTTCTTGTCATTTTCCTAACCTGTGCTGCAGATAGAATTGTTGAGAGGTGGACTGGTTTCAATTATTTCAATTTATCATAGTTCTGTTGTTGCTATAATTATTAAAACATAGTTCTATTAAATTTGTATCTTTTTATCCTTCACAAAGGCAAAACGTTCACTCATCAGGAAGATCTTCCTGAAAAGGTGCAATTGGTGAGAACATATTTTTGAGACCACCTCTTGGAAATCAACTGCCCCCAAAAAACGCCATATGTCACTGGAGAACTTGAAGATGATGATTTTGCATAAAAACTCGGCTCAGCAGATTAAATGAAGATGTTTTTTCCTGTCTATCAATTTTCAACATGCTAACCTTGGGTCCTATATAGAATCCAGAAATTTCTTTGTATAGACTAAATCTCCTTTTCTTATATTTTACTGCCCTTAAAAGGCTGAATTAATTAGACATGAGAATCACAGTTTATGGAACCCTATTAGATACAGATAAAATCAAAACAGCTAAGCTGGCAGCTAGCCAATAGAGAACATGCTGACCTTGGCTAAGTTGTTGTTTGTTAGCAAGCTGGTTAGTTATCATTTGCTAGGAGATTAGCTGCTAATTGACAGTTAGTTGAGTTGGATAAGTTGAAGGGTCAAGCTTCTTTCTGCTGTAATTGTTTTTATGATAGAGGTGAATTGCCATGTCATGTACATTATACCTGTGTCTAAGGGCATGCACAATTTGCTTTTTCCCTTTTTCTTTTTCTTTTCTTCAACTATACTCTTTCTATTTTAAAATAATAGATATTTTTTCATTCAATACTTTTCTTAGTAGTTTTTTTATATTTTAAGACATTTATTTGTTATTTTAATGTTACCATTTTCTCTTAACTTTAATTATTTATTTTATTATAAAAAAATTTACTTAATTTTATCTCTTTTTCAAGGATAAAATAAGTTAAAATAAAATTTTCCCTTAAATTCTTAATTCAACTATAAAATCAAAAATAGACCTATTATTCTAGTTACTTAATAGTTAGAAACTTAGAATAATAACCCTTGGCAGGAAAACCTTCTAGCTAGTAGTGCCGTATATGCCTCTCCACGGGAAGGCCTTCTTGGAACAGAGTGAAAAATTGTAGCTTCCATATTCGGCCCATACTTTTAACGCAATATAATTAAATGGGCTTCAACAATATGCACACATTCGATCCTTAAAAAGAAGAAAAAAAAAAAGAAGAAGAAGAACTTGGGTTCTTTGTCTTCCCCCCATGCCGCTGAGCGCCGTCTTCTCATTGCCATTGGAATTCGGAAGGGTTCCATGTCTATCTTCAGTCTTCTTCTTCGTAGAGAAAGAAGGCACCTTTCCAAAATGGGTATGAGAAAGATAATTCCTTCTAATTCAGTGGGTTTCAGCAAAGCATTTTCATCATCATCCTCTGCTGTTCCGGGTAAGCTCTCTCATTCCAATCCCAAATCTTTTGTTCCAAACCTACATTCCCTGCATCAATTTCTCACCCAACAACGCAAGTGAGGTGCAACCACTCTAGATGAAGCTCTGCATTTCTTTGATTACATGATCCGCATGCTACCCCCTCCTCCTGTCTCTTCATTCAACCATCTGTTAGGTGCACTTGCTAAGATGCAGCACCATGATCATGTGATTTCGTTTTTCCAAAGATTGAACTCAGTTGGGGTATTCCCTGATATTGGAACTTTTAACATCTTGCTTAATTGCTGTTGTAAAATGGGTCTAGCTTCTGATGGTTTTTGGGTTTTGGGGAAGATTTTGAGGGGCGGTTATATCCCAACTTCTACCACTTTCAACACTTTGATAAAGGGGTTGTGTATGGACGACAAGATTGGTGAAGCAACTAGGTTGTTTAAGAACATGTCTGTCTTTGGCTGTCAACCTGATGTGGTTACCTATGGTAGCATTATTGATGGCCTTTGCAAGCATGAGATGGTTGAAAAGGCAAAACAACTTTTCTCCCAAATGAAGAGTAGAGGAATTTCTCTTGATGTCGTTGTTTATACCTTTCTACTTCAAGGTTGCTGTTTCATGGGTAATTTGGAGGAGGCTAAAAGCTTATTCATTGAGATGGTGGATGAACGAGTGCAACCTAATGTGGTTACGTTCACTGTTTTGATTGATGGACTTTGCAAGCAACAAAGGTTGCAAGAAGCGAATGAATTATTAGACTTGATGTTTCAGAGAGGTCAGCATCCTAACACAGTTACTTATAACACATTGATTGATGGGCTTTGTAAAGCAAGGGAGGATGGAAGAGGCAAATAGAGTAATAGGTTTGATGATCCAGAGAGGCAATCATCCTAATACAAGAACTTATAACACACTGATTGATGCACTTTGCAAATGTGGGAGGATGGAAGAAGCAAATAG